AACCACTGGATATTTCAAGTGCCAAAAAACGAATTGAACATATTTGTGAAAATGAAAATATTAATTATGATCCCAAGGTAATAATACTATTATTATTAAAGAAATAAATCCATACAAAGTTAATTCTTGATGAAATATTTAGGTTTAATGTTTTCCCTTTAATTACTAAATAGGCTATAGATGAGATTCTTAAGATATCTAATGGTGATTTGAGAAAATCTATAATGTTTCTTCAAAGTGCAGCCAGATTACATCAAAATGAAAGAATTACTGCTGATTCAATTTTAGAAATTGGAGGGGTAAATTAATTATTGATTTATAAATTTTAATTTTAATATTTTTTGTACTATTTGCTGAAAATTTTCAAATAGGTTGTGCCAGATGATATTATTGACAAATTGATTGAGACTGCTTATATGCCTATAAATGATGAATCATTAAATTTGATAGATAATATTATTGCATCAGGATTTTCTGCTGTTCAAATAATGTCACAGGTAAAAAAAATAAATATATTATTAATATGTGTAAATTCATCTATTAAATAAATAAATAATTTTTTTTTTGTATTTTAGATTTGTGATAAAGTAGTAGTTGATGAACAACTAAACAATGATCAGAAAGCTTGTATAGGAGAGGTTTTAGGCGAAATTGATAAAGAATTATGTGATGGAGCTGATGATAATTTTCAACTAATGAAACTGCTTATAAATTTTTCTGAAATTGTAAATCAATAAAAAATTACTACAGAATATATATATTAATTAATGTATATTTGTTGATCTTTTTATTTTAGAGGATAATAAAAACTTGAGAAAAATAAATTACATAATATATATCAGTAACTTGAAAAATGTAGCATAAAAATATCAAATATTGAAGATTGAGTATCAATTTTTTTCTGTGTTATTATCTTCATAAGTTTTTCTATCAATTTGAGATGAGGTGACTGAATCATAAGCTGGTACCAGAGATACAGTGTAAGCTGGAATAGAAGTATATTAAATAACATAATAAGAATTTGGAGTTATTTTGCTATATTTTTCATCCATCTTAAGTTTTTGATAATAAGCCCATACTGCCATATAGAAATATTTTCAAAATAAATAAATAATAAATCTATATCAATAAAACAAGATACTCATAGACAAGTAACTATAGTGAACATATCTACCTCAGATTGTTTCAGTGAGTTTCATAAATATCTTTGTCATGATAAAATGCTACAATATTGATAAAGAGAACCTTAACAAAAGTTGCCACCAATAAAAATAAACTTTAACACAGTTAACTTTATTTTATATAAAAGGAAAATAAATTTAAACTATTTAATTATTCATTTGTTCCATTCATATCACTCTGATGATGCCAGCAATGCAAATAAGCAAGGTTCCTAAATATATGTAGATAATGCATTATAAAATAACCTAATTTTCCTGCCAAAAGCAAAAAATGATATGCATTGAACAAATATGTTAACTAATTGGATAAATGAATCAAAAGAATGTAATTTTTTCAGACTCTTAAACTCTTGCCTGTAATGCTTTTCAAAATTAACATGAAACACCAGTATTGACATCACTGGGGATGTACCAAGCTTCATAGAGACTAGCTAAAAACTCATTGTCTTCTACTAACCAAGATTAATGACATCATCTCCTTGAGTAGAATAATAGTATTGAATGTAAAATTAGATTTGATAGTATTGGTGATGATGGTGGTGTGAGGAAAATGGTAATATTAATTCTGTGGAATTTGTTATACATATAAATAAAAATATCATGTATGTATGTTCCTTGCACCATTGTCTCTATTCCACAAAGTCAAACAAACATTTTTACAAGCTTTGAGAGCATGGATGTATTGTGATTTTTGGAAGACACAAAGAACATATCTCAAAAAACCAATAGAATAGAGAATCAACATATTTCTGAAACCAAATCAACACAAAAATTTATTTCTACTGCAAAAACATAGTGAATTTTGATGATCGGCATTGAATGAATACTTCCAAACCCCAGTTTAGTGCCCTTATTGTTTAGCAATCATCACCAAATTTGATATATAGTTTCTTTATAGTATACATCTATTTCATGAAAATTTTTGAGGCAGGTTGTTAATAAAACTGTAGATAATCACAACCTTAAAGTTTTTTTTTGTTTCTGTGATCTCATATGTAGAAAATTGTCATTCATATTGATTGCAAACAAATAATTATTTTTTACACACACACACACACACACACAGTTTCAACTTTAAATTTATTAATATACTATTGTATTTTTTGATATAAAGAAAGGTTTCATTCTTGGTACAAAAGAAGATTTTGTTTTTGGTACAAAGAAAAGTTTTGTTTTTGGCACAAAAGAAAGATTTCATTTTGATATAAAGAATTAATGTTGATAAAGTTATTATAAATTTACTTCTTTAAATGAATTCTTTGATTCAAACTTATTGGCAATATTAATTAATAGGAGATAATGACCAGATTGATCTAACTCATTGCCAATATTAGTAGAAATCAATGACCAGATTGATTCTATATTAGAATTTGATGAATATTCATTCCAACAATCAATGAATGATGCTATTATTTGATGATAATATAAAAGAAAACCTGTGAAGATGATGAAGATAATCAAGAAAAATATGATAAAGAATCCCCAGAGGAATTTGATAAAGTAACAACAATGGAGGGAAATATTCCTCAATTTGTAAGATATATTGTACAAATTATTGGGTAACAAATGGAGGGCATCTACATATAAGAACAGGAACAAAACCATGTAT